TCGGATAATTTGGATAATTCGGAAAGTTTCCGAAATAGCCAAATTATCAGAATTATGCGAAATAGCTCATTTCGGATAATTCGGATAATTCGGAAAGTTCCCGAAATAGGCAAATCATCCGAATCATGTGAACTAGCTCATTTCGGGTAATTTGGATTAGCTTATTGTTGTTGGGGAACCCAGTGGGTCACATTATACAGGAAGGATCTTCAATCATATATATATATATATAATATATATATATATATACACACCCTAGGTGAGCGCTTTCCTCAGGCTGTGGCCTTGCCAGCTTTGCCCCAGGAGGTGCCACCTGGTCCTCCCTGGTTTCCGTACCTTCCCGCTGCCGAGACGCTCCGAGACGGCGCAAGGCGACGGCGCAAAAGGGCCCACATGCATGGATCATGGGGGTGCATCTGCATGAGCTGCTGCGCAAACTGCTGGTGATAAGCCATCGCAGCCTCACGAAGACAGGGATGCCTGGTGAGAAGCTGGCTTCGGGCTGGTAGAAATCCGGGCTCTGTGCCGCCTGTTGTGCCAGGTACCTGAGTCGAAGGGATCCCGAAGGCGGTGGTCTCTCCGAGGGGCACTTGAGAAGATGGCTGTTGTTGGAGGTACTGGTTCATGGCCTCGGTCGAGCAGAATCCTTGCTACTCACCTCGTCAATGCAGAGAGCCCGGCAGCATTGCTCGTCATGGCCTCACAAAGATTAACATCATTCTTCCGAAAAGACCCTAGGCCTCACAAGAGTGCAGCACAACTTGCCCTAAAAGTCGGCTCTCGACGCTGAGGTAAGGGTTTGCTGCCGCACCCGCTGGGCCAGTGGAGGCCTGGGAGCTTTCACTTCACGGTTTGCCCTCCTTCGCTTTGAACTGGCTGAGGTCTCAGGACTGAGCAGCCGCTGGCGGAGGCGGGGATGCAGCTGTCGCCTTTCCTGCTCCCATCTCGCCGAGACTTTGCGCACGATCCAGGAAATGCCATGCTCTTTCATGCTCTTTCTGCTTGCTGAGCCTGGTATCGCCGGCGGCACCTCCACCTTAGAAGCAGAGCACCCCACGCAACACCTGCGCCGCCCAGTGCTGTGCCCCCACAGATCCTGCGAAGGCTTAGCTGTGCTTGGACACTGCTACGACTCGCTACGACTGCGAGTCAAGGCACAGGCGACGCCAGGGCCTCGGAGCGGCACGCGAAGAGGAACTCAAAGCAGCAGAGCATCTTCGACGCTTCAAAAACGAATCCGCAATCCCTCTGCTTAAGATTATTTTAAAGCTCGCCGCGAGAGGCCTCCTGGTAGAGCTGGTCGAAG